GGTGACATGAATACTGAACCCTCAAAACACAATCTGCTGGTTTCCACCCAGCACCGTTTCCAATCTCAGTTTTAGTCTTTGAGTCCGTAGGTTTTAAAACAGAAACAACAGTGAATGCTGTCCCAGAGAATCTGCGTTCAGTTTCTCTCCTCCCATTGAATATGTTCAGTCTTTGTTAAAAGTCTCAGTTGGTAATGCAAGTGGAGTTATTGTGACCTTGGAAATCAAGATCACGTTTAATTTTGCTACTGCGCAATTCAACTGTTGTACGCCGGTACCAAAAGTATTATTAATATCCTTCTTGACACTTTTTTCCTTTTAAATCTGCCAAACTACAGTGTGGAAACCTGCTTTTTGAAGGTTATAAACAGAAAATACAGTAACCTGAATGATATAATGGGTAAAAAAAACACCCACCCGAATAGTACTAAACCATTAGACATACAAGGCCATACGTCGCAGTGCTGGTCTGTACTGAGTTAGCTGATCTGAGACTGGGCAGCAATTGACCACACTGCAACTGGGCTCAGTATCTTAGGTTAGAGAGGAGTAATCATTAACCAGGTTTCCAAATGTTGATCTCTATCCAGCAATCCATGCTGGAAAGTGTGTGGATGGATTTCTGGAGGGTAGGATCAAGCTCAGCTGCAATGTCTCCAGTCTGAATGACTCCCCAAGCACAATCGCAAAACGTTTGCTCAGTCTTTATGAACCACTGCGGAAGGTTTTGTCGCAACGTTCGTTGCAATGGGGATAATGATGGTAAATACCATAATGATATAGCGCATTGGCACCTCATCACTACACCTCAAGTACTAGACTGCGTCTATCCTGCGACTGCATGTATTTGGTGGGCAAAATCCACGGCTGAGGTTTTTTTTAAAATTTAATATTGATATTTAACATAGGGTCGGAATCAATCAATCCGAAAAGCAAATCGTGATAATAATCAATTACAGGAAACGTCAAGAAAGCATCACAATAAATGCAAAACATTTCAACTTAAGTTATACTTCTGCAATCCTAAATGTAGCATCAAGCTGTCTCGCTCGTTCACCAATGTTTAAATACAAAGTCCATCTTTTTCCATTCCATTCCGGGAAATCCGGGAGTCAAACCACACCAGAAATGCAACTTTGCACCTACAGTTACATTCATTCTTGGATGTTGTTTGCTGAGGTCGTTGAGGTCTGCAAACTAGACGTCTCTTTTACACTTACACTCGCAATAATATTAATAATAACAATCCTTGTATTTGATACAGCGCCTTATCACGTCTCAAAGCGCTTCACAGGATACACTGTAAAGTGCTAGTGACTGTGTCTTTGCGGGCGAAACGGATTCATCTCGGTTCTGATTATTCTCATGCGATACAATGTGAAAAAAAATCGATTGATACGGCAAGATTTGGCATTGAACTGTGCGCATCAATAGCTGTAAATTTATTGCTTCCGAACAGTAAAGAATTGGCTACAGATTTAATATTGCATTGGGGTTCGGTGGTGCTGATCTTTCATTTGTGAGGAAAATCTGTGTACCAGTGAGGTGAGTGTGAGATATGGGCCTCTCGTATTCGTAGCAAAAATAAAGCTGTAACATGTCACTGACGCAATATACAGTACTATTGAGGGCACACACTAGTAAATGCTGTTGGTAGTCAGCCAAATACCACATTGTAGAGAGGTGCTTTCTGGAGTAATACTTCTGTGGCTGCTCTGGAATTGAAAATGCATTAATGCGCTGAGATAATGCCCCTCGGAAATGTAGGATCTCACTGCTTTTCCGCGTTGTTACTGATTATAGCCACCCATTAAAATAGGAGGCACGCGGACTCCATGCAAGGAATTGCAACTTGCGAAGGGGAAAGCTGAAAGACACTGGGGAGCGTTAGTTGATTCATCACTCAGCCTGTCAAAACAGCGTGAGACGGCAAAAAAAACCAACACAAACTGGATGTGGAGCTGCATTGCTAACTAAATCAGTTGTACTCGTATCTCCAGAAGCTATATTCAAGCTGTATTAGTGTCCGACTTGCTTGCATTTGGAGGACTCTATACCGTTCTGGTTGTTGCGACATAAGGGCAGTCAGGGCCGGGGAGAGCGGGAAGGATTGATTGGGCTCTTGAAAGAACTCTTTAAGCTTCAAAATAGAATTAGAAAAATAAACCCAGAACAAAAGCTCAGCGACGCTCCGGGACAGCAGAGCACAGGCATCGGCTCGGGGCTGGAGAAAGGTCATTTCGGGGAAGACACTGGGAAGTGTTTATTTACCCGGAGGGTAATTCACAACTCAAACAGGTTACTCAAACAGGAGAGACGAGGTGGGGTGGGGGGGGGGAGGGTGGGCTGTATCCTTCCGGTTCAAAGTCTCCCGTGGTGGGGGCGGGGGGGTGGGGCGGCCTGGACGGGGATATGTTAACAAGCTGTAGAGAGGGGAATGTGTGTGTGTGATCACAAACTCCGGGGGGGGGGGGGGTTTGTGTAATAACAACACGTCACATTTACTCCGCGCCTTTCGTGTCCGGACGTCCCGAGGCGCTGGACAGTCAGGGATCTGCGCCCGAGCTGGTGGTTGGGATCAGGAGGGGGTGGGAGCGGGGAGGGGAGGGGAGGGGTTGGAGGGTGATCGAAAGCGCAATCGAAAACGCGATCGAAGCGGAGGGTCTTGAGAGAGCCGAGGGAGGGGGCGAGGCGGAGGGATTGTGGCACGGAGGTCCAGGGGGTGGGGGCAAGCGGAATCTATGTAATAAACTACGTGGGGGGGGGGTATGTGTGTAAGAAGCTGTGGTTGTGTATGGGTGGGGGGTTGTGCGTGTAATAATAATAATAAATAATAATAATAATCCCTCCAAAAAGCAAAATAATAATAATTCAGTCACTCAACCCACGGCTGTTTGTGGGGACGTCGCTGTGCGTCATCGGCTGCCGCGTTTCACCCACAAAACACACAGTCACTACACGTTACAGTGTGTCCCGGGAAGCGCTTTGAGACGTCTCGGAGACCTGAAAAGGCACTAAATCAAATGCAACGATTATTATTGTTATAGTATTACAGTAATAGTCCCGGCGCCCGATCACGTCTCCGAGACGGCTCAAAGCGCTTCCCGGGACACACTGTAACGTGTAGTGACTGTGTGTTTTGTGGGCGAAATGTGGGCGCACCTCTCCCATCCCCCCCTTACCCCTTCCTTCCTCTCCCTCGCCCCGCCCCCCCCCACCTCTCCCCCTGCCCCCTCTCCCCTCTCCCCTTTCCCCTCCTCCCCTGACCCCCCCTCTCCCATCCCCCCCTTACCCCTTCCTTCCTCTCCCTCCTCCTGCCCCCCTCTCCCCTGCCCCCTCTCCCCTCCCCCCTCCTCTCCCTCCCCCTGCCCCCCTCTCCCCTCACTCCCCCTGCCCCCCTCTCCCCCCCTCCCCTCCCCTCCCCCTCCTCCCTCCCCTCTCCCCTGCCCCCCCCCCCCGCACAGTGAGCTGCTGTTGTTGTTGTTGTTGTGCTGAGGCGCTGCCGCTGAGCCATTTGCGCGGGACGGGTCACGGCGCCACTGAGAGAGAGAGAGGGAGAGAGAGAGAGAGGGGGGGAAGGAGCGAGAGGAGGAGAGGAGGAGAGGAGAGAGGGGGAGAGACGGCGATGAGGGTTTGGCGGCGATCGGACTAAAAAAAAAGGGCTCTGAAGAGAAGACGACCGAGAAGAGGAAGAGGGGAAGGAGAGAAAGGAGAGAGAGAGAGAGGGAGAGAGAGTGTCGCTCGGGCCCCACCGCCGGGAGACCACTGTAACCCGTCTGTGTCCTCCTCTTCCCCTCACGTTTGAGGGTTGTTTTTTTTGTTGAGGGGGGGGGGGCGGGAGGGGGGAGTGTGAGAGAGAGAGAGGGAGAGAGGGAGAGGAGAGAGAGAGAGAGAGAGGGAGAGAGAGGGAAAGGAACAGAAAACAACAGTGGATTTGCCGCGAAGGAGAAGAGAAGAGAAGGAGAGAAAAGGAGAGAAGAGGAGAGGAGAGAAGAGGAGACCTCTCCCCCCCCCTCCCCCCCCCCCAGGACAGCCCCACAGAGCAGCTCACCCCCCCCCACCCCCCGGGGAGGCAGTGGCCCTGTCCCCCCCCACACCCCCTCTCCCCCCGCGGATCATCCAGAGGTTTCGATGGTGTTTTCGCGGCCCCGGAGCTGCTGTGAGGGAGAGGCCCGGAGCCGCCATCACCACAGCCACACCGGTGAGGGGTTACGCTGTTTTGCCCCCACACCCCCACACACACTCTCACACACACCCTCACACCAGCCCCACCCACCCCCCCCCACACACACACAGCCTTATACGCCCCCCCGGCTTCCTCGAGGCCTTCTCTCCCCCGAGGGGAGCATGGAGACGGGTTTGTTGTCTTTAACCCCCGTCCCCGTCCCCCTCCCCCACACTCCCCTCCCCTCTCCCCCTCACACTCACCCCCACCCACTCTTCCCCCTCCCTCACATTAACCCCCCACACTCCCCCCTCCCCCACCCTCTCTCCCCCCCCCTCCTCAGATTCACCCCCCACACACCCCTCCCCCACACTTCCTCTCCCCTCCCCCCCCCTCCCCCCCCCCACCACAGGGCCCGTGTGTCAGTCAGTGAGTCAGGGCCTCTGTGCTGTATGAGGGGGAGAGGGTGGAACACGAGAGACAGAGAGACAGAGAGAGGGTAAGGACAGGCGGGGGGGGGGGGGGACAGGGCGGGGGGTGGGGGGGGACACGGCTCGGAGCCCCCGCACTCGTGGTTGCTGTGGGGGGCGGTGGGTGGGGGTGTGGGGCTGAGGTGAGGCCCACATACTGCAGACACACAGACACACACACACACACACACAGACACACACACACACAGACACACACACACACACACAGACACACACACACACAGACAGACACACACACACAGACACACACACACAGACACACACACACACAGACACACACACACAGACACACACACACAGACACACAGACACACACACACACACACAGACACACACACACACAGACACACACACACACAGACACACACACACACAGACAGACACACACACACAGACACACACACACAGACACACACACACAGACACACACACACAGACACACACACACAGACACACAGACAGACACACACACACAGACACACAGACAGACACACACACACAGACACACACAGACAAGACACACACACACACACACAGACACACACACACAGACACACACACACACACAGACACACACACACACACACAGACAGACACACACAGACACACACACAGACAGACAGACACACACACACACACAGACACACACACAGACAGACAGACACACACAGACACACACACACAGACACACACACACAGACACACACACACAGACACACACACACAGACACACACACACACACACAGACACACAACAGACACACACACACACACACACACACAGCACAGACACACACACACACACACACAGCCCCTGGGCCTGCACTCTGTGCTCAGGCTTCACTCGGCAGCAGAGCGCGGCCTCGTGTCCCTCTCCCCCTCTCCCAATGGGCATTTTAGTTTCTTTTTAATCTCTTTTATTATTAGGGTTCCACACTCGCTCACTCCCACGTTTCTTCTTTTTTTTTTGGCGCGTTCTGGGTTTGTTGGGACTCTTTCTCCCCCCCCACCCCACCCCCCCCCTTCCTAACCTCCATTTCTCCCCCAGTGTCTGCAGTTATATATAAAGTCAGTTTGTCACTTTCTCAACACTTCGATAAAATGGCTGGTACCACACACACACACACACACATACACACACACACATTTGGATGTTTAAGGTTCACATCATCTGATTGTTGAACCAGACGATGTGAGCTGAGCCTTAAGCCATCGGTGTGTGTGTTTGTGTGGAAGAAGTATTATTTTGAGGACACCAGATTTTCTGGGGAAACGATAATCCCAACTACTTTTGAATGCAAATATGATTTACTTGGGCGTTGTGTGTGTGTGTGCGCGCGCGCGCGTGCATATAAAATAATAATGATGATAATTCTTGCATTTGATGATGTACACTACACGGCGCCTTATCGCGTCTTCGAGACGTCTCAAAGCGCTTCGCAGGATATACGGTAAAGTGAAATCGACTGTATACTTTGCGGGCGAAACGCGGCAGCCAATCGCGCACAGCAGCGTCCCGCACACAATCGTTTATTATATATCATATATTTATATACTGTATATATTAAAGACTATGCACTCCTAGAAACTCACTCCTGTGGCCTAAAATGCTGGTTTCGTGTATGAGCCCATTTTCTTTGAGCTTGTATGTGAGTTGAAATGTCTCGATCTTTTGAGTTCAGCTACTCGATGTTGGCACAAAGTGCGTTTGTGGATTGTTCAATTGCAAAGTGTATTTTCTTTGTAATTTTTTTGCATCTTAGCACATAACTGTTGGCCCAGAAAGATTTCAAGGGGAGGATGTCACACTGGTTTGTTACTCAACAAAATTGACAAACACTAGTGGCTGTCAGCCAGTGAATCTTCCTGAGAAGTGTGAAATGTCCTCAATTGCTAAGTGACTTATCTGTTTTTCAAGTGAAGAAAATGCTCTCGAAAATTCATTTCATTGACAAGAAAATGTTTCGCTTTTGTGTATCGCAGAGAATAGCAATACTCCTGATATCGTAAACTGTTCTGTGTCGGTCCATAGTACGGGTGTCGTGAAATACAACGTCATCCCGGTTCTGTTGTTAATTCATTAGGTCTTTGGGTGACATTTTAATTCTAAAATGTAGTGCACGCCTCATAAGTGCTAAATGATAAATTGCTGTGTGGGATTTTGCGTACGTTTGTAAATTACAGGTGTGCTGGGGGAATTGAAAATGCATTTCACTCCCACAGAACAGCTCCAAGGGGAGCATTGGGTGGCTTACTGCCTCTGTCTGAAAATAATAATCATTGCTGCATTTGATACAGCGCCTTATCGTGTTTTCGAGACGTCTCAAAGCGCTTCACAGGATACGCTGTAAAGTGAATTGACTGTGCCTTTTGTGAAGGAAACGTACTTTTTCCTACTCGGATTTGTTTGTCCAGTCCTCTCTGACTCAAGGAGCTCGTAGAACGTACAAAGACATGTGTGTGCCTGGAGGTGGTTGGAGAGAACCAGTTTGATGGATTTGGATTTTGTTTTGATACTTGATATCCTTGCAAGTTTCCTAAATACATTTGAGATGTAAAATGTACCCGCCCAAAAGGTTGCAGATAAAAGCGCCACCTGTTGTAACACAAAAGACATGTGGGTAAAAAGTCGCAGCCTTGATTCCCAGACTTGTGCTGAGATAGCTGACCTTAGCTGGGGAATTGCCTTTAGCCCTTTGGGGTAGGCAGAGGATACCTGGTCCTCATCACTGAGTGAAAACCAAATCTGGCTTGCATTGGCAATTAAGTTAACTAACTTGTCTTGAGTACAACCGTCCTGAATCGCACGCTCCAATATTGGCTCCAGTGCTGTCATATAAACCTGTGAACCAGCAAGTTGATGTATGATATACTTACGTTATAACCTTGCCTGGGTGGAGTTGAGACCCATCTATTGAGGTTGTTTTTCTCTGTGCCTGAGGGGAGAGAAAGGAGTGTTGGTACAAACTATATAAATACTGCCTCGGAAGGCCCAAGCTGCAATTTGTTTCTGATTCTGAACAGCCTGTGCTCTCTAACTGCCGTACTGAGTCATCAGAGGAGGTCTGGTAGCCAGAACATAGTCATAGCCATGACTTTCAAATCACAGTCTGTGTGTATGTTTGTACATGCGGGGTTGTTTATGGATTTCAATTTGGAATTGCTCTGAAATATAAAGGGAGATTTATGGAGAATATAAATGGATTCCATAGCACTGTTAACGCAAGTGCTTATAATTGATATACTTGTATACTAAAGTAGTATTAGTGGTGGAAAAATAGTTTCAGGTCTACTGAGGGATCCTTTGCATTTTATTGAATGCTTTCATCAAGTTTGTTGTCTTGAGCTTGAGCATCTTCACTCAAGCACGTTAGTATGTGACGCTTTTCTGCTTTTCGACTTGGAATGATCTTGTATCTTGTGGAGTCCTATATATCAGTAGTTGGAGCGCGCGCCTCGCAAGTGAGAAACCAGGGTTCGATTCCCAGTAGGGCGAATTGTTGGCTAAGTTTCCTTACTCCACTCACCTTAGCAGTACGTAGGAACCCGGCTGTTAGTCGATTGGCAGAATTGCTTTTCTGGGGGTAATAATTCATTAAAAAAAAATTGGTTACTCAATCCACAGTTGTCTGTGGGACACTGCTGTGCGCAGTTGGCTGCCGTGTTTCACCTAAAAGATATACAGTCAATTCACTTCACTTTACAGTATATTCTGTGAAGCGCTTTGAGACGTCTCGAAGACCTGATAAAGCACTATATCAAATGCAACGATTATTATTATTATTTCTACTGAGTTTAGTGCAAAAGCAGTAAGATAGATTTTATGCTAAAATAAGCAAGAGGTTCAGTGTGGACAAGAAGTTGGACTAATAATATAAATCATATTGAGATCGGCATGCAGCTCCTATCACAATATTTGGCTGCATTTAACTGAAAAGTAAATGATATAATGAAAGCAGAAAAAAAGTTAATGTCATCAAAACATTGCGCTTCCTTTTTATTTATAAGGTGCTTGGATAATGATAGTTTTCAACCTTTTTATACACTTGATATCATTTGTTTGGAAATGTAATATTGCATTAATTGGTTGTGACGCAATTGGTTGGTGCAACCCCCTTGAAAAAAGGCGAGAGCTTTGTCAGGAAGAAAGTGAATCTATAACAATATCTTTTGAGGTTTCACCAATGGCTTCAGTGGGTAAAGGCATTGCCTATTGTAGCTGGGGTTTGCTTCACTATCATATAATCTGCCAACATTTGCTTTTCTTTGTTGAAGTATAACCACTTGGATAAGGTACTGCAGTTGCCAACATCTGTAAGACAAATCCAGCAAGATTAAATGACTTTAGAAAGCGACTTTTGTACTTGCATAGATGTTGTAATTGAAATAATGTGAGACTGCAAAGGCTGACAGTCTAATGAAGTGGTACATTGTGGGAGATGATGAGATGAGACATTAAACTGAGGTCCTTTTTATAATAATACTAAACCTTGCATTTGACATAGCGCCTTACCATGTCTTTGTGACGTTTCAAAGCGCTTCACA